AGAAATCGAAAAATGAACCAGAGGGAAGAATGCCTCATTATAGCGCGTGATCATACTCAGTGGAAGACTCATAGAAGCGGTGAGTGTGCAAAGACTCTGTGTTTAATGTGATTGAAATCTTGGTTCAGCGTTTTCTCTGTTTGTTTATGGAGGTATTTGGCCGAATAGATTGCTGTCAACTTGACCTTTCCAGGCTCTGGGGAAGGCGAAATCCGCCGAAACGTCAGCTTGTTGGTGAATAAAGAATGAAATAACACCTCGCGTTTGCTCAACAAGAATACGAAGAATTACCTACGTGGAACCGACCCCTGCGCCCATGGCCCACCAAGTCTTCCGTCCCTCCGGGGTCGGTAAATTGATACCACACTTGTCTGGTAGGATAGTTGCACTGGCTCGCTACACTGGTAGGCCACCGCGAGTTATTGTAAAGCCCATATATGCATTCAATCACCTCCAACGATACTTAGTGAAGTCGAATGCATGGCGCATCCCTCATGGATCGATCAACGCCGAGAGCTTCATCCTTCTTTATCCTTCTATGTTCTATTTAACTTTTTAGAGATTTCTCTTTATTCTTTTCATATACAAGGCTTCTGCCAATTGAATCTTCATAGTGTGTGGTTTTTCTAATCGATTAGTGGGCAAATACTGTAGTCAAATACAATCCCGAACCCACTTGCTACGAACCATGTACTCTGCAAGGTTTGCAAGGCGTGAGCTTGTTGTATTCATCTACACACCTTCATCCCTCCATTACATTCATAAAAATTGGGCCCTCATTAGAGATCTATTTATATCAGATGAAAGCATGTCGTTTGAAGTTTTGTAGCATTCTAGAATTGTCATAAGAGGTTAACTTATGTTTGCTCATTTGAGTTCACTTTCCTGTGCTTTTCACCAATAAATCGGATCTGAACAGCATTTATGGAAAACACTTTGGAAAAGGCCAAGGTATGTGCGTTCAAGAGAAAGCGGACCGAAGTGGAAGAAATTCTTTCTCAGCATAGTGAAAATGTTCAGCTTTATATCAATATAACCACTTTGTTAGACCATTTCGTAGTCAAAGCTAAAGTTTCAGTTTAAAATATTCTTCCATGAGATAACCATTTGGGACAAACATTTGATAATAAGCGGTCAATATTTTGTGTCCCTACTTCTTATCGATACATTTGATTTTCCATTTTTCCTATTTATCCTGTTGACTTTGTTGTATTGCCACATCACCTAGCTATTCGCTTAGATAACCGCTCTCCACATGACTTGCGGGCCACTTATTTTCTACGTCTTCTCACAATCGTCATCCATAAGTTTCTGCACGCTACGGATGAAACTTGGGCTCTGTCGCCTCCTTTTTCCACTGGAATGTTGAATAGTGGAGAGTGGTTTTCCTTGTCCTCTCTATAGGCACTCGTTTGCTGGTATGGGTGGGGAGAAAGTTTGTTTCGTCACAACTGTTTGCAAGTAGTATTCGTCTACTAGTAGTATGCGTGGCAGCGATTGCTGTGGCGGTACCAATTCTTACGATTGCTAGACTTGCTGAATTAGGACGATGATCAACAGACCGAATCCTGTTTTTCTACCACAGTTTTGTAATCCCATGTATGCTAATGAAAAGGGGCGCGTGTGGTGCAGTGGTCGATGGCGCCCTGCAATTCACACGTGGAATCGATCCCCGCAATCATGGCGCACTGAGCCTTCCATCCCTCCGGAGTCGGCAAATTGGTACCAGACTTGTCTGGTAGGATAGGATAGCAGCAAAGGCTCGACACATCGGTAGGCCACCGCAAGTAATTTTAAGGGCCAGATGTGTATTCAACCACCTCCAAACTATGTTTAATGAAGTCGAATGCTTGATCAATGCCTAGAACTTCATCCCTTTTTATGATAATGAGAGGAGCTTGACTGTGTTACTCCTGTTAATATCTTTCAATGAATAGGTTGTTTTGATGTCGGTGTTTAGCAAGCTGAATGTTGCGTTAAGGGTGTCTCGAAGACAACAGCGAAAGTCGAGTGCCAGTTCAAATAAGCAGAAAACCACTGCTCACGATTATTCGTATCCACTTGCTTGACTTAGGCTGATCTTTTAGAAGTTGTTCTAAACCGCCAAGCTGTGTCTCGAGATGTTTTGCTTTTCAGAAAATCTTGCCAAGACGTACAAATCTGAACGTACAAATTCGGAAGAATTTCACCTGAGTCGATGGACTCGTTGGCTGGTTGGTAGACGTGACTAATGGACATATTTTAGAATTTTTAGGTTTTACTAAACCTGACTAAAAAACCTGACTAAACCTGACTTTTTTTTCCTACTAAGCTCTTTGGACTGGCTAACTGCTCTCTTCCACCCAATCACTTTCAAAATTTAATGGGTTCAAAGAACAAAATTTCAGTCCGGGCTACCTAATCGTTGAGCATGTGTTTTTCATCTCAGCGTTCCAAGTTCCCCATAAAGATAACACGTTCACCTCAAATAGGTAACGTTGCCGTTCTGTTGACATTTCAATAAACAAATGCGTCGTCGGATTGCCTTTTCATCATACAACACCTCGTTTTTCTAGACAATGGCCATTTTTCGGCAAAGACTCGTCAGTGAGTCATCTTCTAGATCTGGGGCCGTTTTTACTTCTTTGCTTCATGGTTTCCCAGTTTTCGCCGTTCATTTGCTTGCCATTTAAAGTAATCTTTTTCACGTTGATTTCAGTATCAGATAGTTTACGATGATAAGCAACGACTGTAACCGACATGATTAACATTCGGATTATTCTGCGATGTGCTCGATAAAACCACACCAAGTTCCATTTCGGCTCTATTCGTTTCTTTTCCTGTCCTTCCCAATTTTTCATCCAGAATGTTTGCACATGGGCGAAAAATAATCTACAAACATAAATGGAACACAGTAGAACACACTATCTATGTTTGACCATCGTTTCTCTAAGTGAATCATATGAATGTCCTCTTTTGTTCAAACAGTTGTTTTTGCCATAAATTTTGCTCAGAGCCACCCTCCATTCACATTTGGAAGGTTGACTTTCCCTTCTTACCTTTCAAACATCTCAAGGTGCGGAAATCATCCAGAAACACGAGACTTAGAACTATTTTATTGACTTATGTAGTAGTCTTACGTCGTCTTCGACAGAGAATATGTTAATGAATTTATCATAGGAATAGTGTCACCATATTCTTCTGTTATAAAAGTTGAACTGACACTATCCAAAGATAGCGGCCGTTTTATTAAACTCCAACAAAAACAAATAGCTTAACACCCAAAACTAAAACTAAGCCATATGACGCGAAGCTTTCTCAGGTCTTCTCTACCCGAAGTTGTCTCCCGATGCGGTCGGAGAGAAGTTTGTCATTTTGAAACAAGGTTCATACTTCTATTGTGACAACTACTGGCATTCGTCTTCTTTTAGCTGGTCTTGTGAGTCAAAGCGTGAAATTCTTTGTGAGCGTGGAATGTCCACTCAAGGATTTAACATTGGCTATATGTGGAAAATCAATGCGGAAGACCATTAAGTTTCAACGACAAGGCGGTGAGGTATTCACGGTAACAACAATTCCTCATAACCGCTAAAAAGGAGGGGAAGAAAGGACAAGAATGCGTCATGGTAATAAATCGCACTTTTATGTTTGCTTCGATGAGTTCATCTCTAGTTGTCTGTGTTTGATGCGGTGGTCGAACAATTACTTATGGTCTTAAATTTTCGGACCGGGTGCCTCAGAATGTTACCTGACATCCTGCCTGACATATATCTGACTATTCTAGTAACCCAATTTTTAGAATCTTAACCCTTTTATTTAATGCCTTTTTCTTCTTAATGGCAGGGTATGTTGCGAAATATAAAACCCGGATGGTGTAGCGGTGAAGTGCGCTGCTCCCCGGTAAGGACAACAGCGCGTGTTCGTTCCCCATTGCATACACTTGTGGTACGGAGTTTTGCAAATATCTCAGCATTTCATGCCAATTTTTAGATATAATGACAAGGACCACCTGTTACAGGCATTTTTATGAAGTTGTCATATGAAGATGCTATTCTCCAATTATTCATTTTCCTTGAAAAAAAACGGAAAGCCCAGAAAAGTCGGTGACTTGTTTAATTTGGAACATCCTTGCAAGGGCAATCTCAGATATAAAAATGAATAAGAGAGTGATTTCTCGGTTTGAGCACTTTCTGCTTGGATACCGTATGGCGTCTCTTTGAAACCTTCCTGATTAGAATATCATTGCAAAAGCATTTCACGGCCCGTCTCCAGCTAAAGGCCTTTAATGCAGATCACGTTCACATTCCTTACTATTCAACTTAACTGAAGATCTACTACGATGGACCAAAGTTCATTTTGAGTTTTCCCATAAGGGAGATTTTAGAAACTTGTGAGGTCTTGTTTAAGCACCGTAGATGAGAAGTCTCTGTAATATATGCACACAGTTTGAGCTCAGCTAATTTGAAACGTTTTTGTCATTTTCGTCCGCAACACTTCCAATAAACACTGGTAGGTCTGAACTTCATCAGCTGATTATATCAACTCTTCTATCCCATGCACTGCACAATCAATCCATCTTCTAAAAATTGTAGTTCTAAACGCTCTATTGTCCTTGAAGCTAATCCACTTCTTCGAGAGTCGTTGATGTCGATGACGGCCGTCTTCAGTTGACGTTATGATTTTCGTGTTTGGAGATGTTTATGCGTTCCTTCAAACATTTCGTCGGATTCGATTCAGCGTTAATATTTACTTTTCACGAAGAAGACGACTTTGTTGGCCTCTTCATTCGCCTTCCCAACGTGGGGTAATCTGTATCACCACTTTATCGTAACATCTCGGTTTTTCTTTTTCTTCTTCTAGTTTCATCCAATATCAGTCATGACTGTTTTCACGCATTTGTGAATAACACTGCTATCACCAGCGAGCACGGTAATAAACTTCTGAATAAGATCGATAAAGCAACTATTAAGTGGAAATTTGGTCAAATTTCTGGATCAGTTGTGTTGCAGGGGAATAAAAATTTAGAAATGAACCAAAAATGAGGCCTCTTCAGTTAACCCTATGATCGGCTTTCTCTTAACTCCGGCATTGATAGCTAATTCACTGTTTTCTTCGATGATGATATACTCGGCCTCTTCGCCTTCTTCGGAGCCTGGAAAAGTCAAACTGACTCAGTCAAACACTTTCATAACCTCAACAAACAAAACAATTCACAAATGACTAATCACATAGTGAACAGCTTCTCCAAACATTCACCGTTCTGTTGCTTACAAAACAATACATGCTGTTTGTACAACAACCCGTGGCTGTTCAAGGGAAGCTGTTCACTATGCGATTAGTCATTCATGTATTATTTTGTCTGCTGAGGTTATGGTAGTGTTTGACCGAATCAGTTTGACCCCTCCAGGCTCTGAAAAAGACGAAAACTTCGGTGCGTCATCTATTGAGTAATATTAAATACTATATAATAACAACCTCGTATTTCCTTTTCAGTTATTTCGACGCTTTTCGACTGAACAAGCGATAAATTGTAAATCACGTGTTGAGCTCACGTACGAGACCAAAGTTCAGATTGAATTGGCCTAGAAATGAGTAACAGAAGATCGCAAAATACAGCAATGTGGTGGCGTCATTTCTTTTGTTCTATGGGCAGTCGCATATCCGTACATTGGCATGGTTTGGTCAGTGTCGTTCAAAGTTTATCATAGTGGAATGCCACCAAGCGAGTCGTTAAAAACTCGAAATTGCAATCTTTGGATGATTTAACTTCGAGCCGTGAAAATATCCGATGTGATTGATGAGGAGAGTTGATGAGCATCAACCTTGACGAATTTTATCGTGCGATCAATCTGTGTCGTATTCGGACAGCAACGTGGAGGTCCCGGTTGACCGGCGTGAGTCATCGCCGAGCATCGTCGACATCGACGCGGCTGTATATATAGTTCCCGTCGTGTACTACGGCGACATGCTGTAAAATGTAATATTCAGATTCCGAATAGAATGTTACAGTAATCGATTCTTAGAGAACACCTCTATTATTCAGTATCGTATCTGCTAAGACGTAGAGAAAAAGAGACTGTATATTCGGTTTTTGCACCCAATACCAAACTATTCGCTCAAGTGCTATAGGTTGCTTTTTGATCAAATGATTTGTAACTCGATCATTTGAAATATTTAGGAGGAAAGGTCCGCTATTTCCTTCTACGCCACATTTCTGTTTGTAATGAACTGAAATAGAATATTCCAACTACAGCCGCAGCTTAGCTGGGTTAAATGCCGATTTGGGCTCCCCAAATCAATCCTGTTGACGGGTGATTCTTGATAGCAGTGATCGATAGAACTAGCTGAGAGACGCGTTACTACCCGGAAAGGACAATAGCGCGTTCGCTCCCCACCGCAGACACCTGCGGTCCGGAGTTTTGCAAATATCTCAGCATTATTGTGGTTGCATTTCGCATTATACCCTGCAGTGAAAAATTATAGTAGGTAACAAATAAAAGGTTAGCATAGAATGTTGTCTTAAAGATGAACTTCCATTACACTTGACTGACAATAATCAATCATTTATGTTTTCATTTATAATTTACTATTGGGCTGGCAAGAAGGTGGTGCAAACTTTTGCTCGGGTAACGTTTCGGCGCGTTTGCCTTTCTGAAAGCCGTTTTGATCCGAGTTCATGGTCCACACCTGGTCGTTGTAGCATCGAGTCGAATGAAATGGCCGAACCACCGCTTGAATGGGAAGCTTCACTCGAGGGTGACTTTTTATACACTTTGGATTCGCACAGTAGTAGCATAATAGTCGAGGTATACACGGACGATTGGTTCCACAGTATCCTCCGTGGTATTTCTTGACTAATTGAAGTCGAATGTACAGAAACAGTTGTTGGTGCTTTTAAAACTACCTACAGTTACCATATTCCGATTTATCCACCAGAGTGTTACGTTGAAACAAAACCATACCAATCAGTTTATGTTTTGGCATGTACGATAGTTTCTTTGCTATCAACAGTGTTCCTCCTTAAGTTCATCGTTTTCATTGAAATAAGTGTTCCCAGCGTCACAGACTATTCGATGGTTTCAGGAACTTTCACACTGAACGTAATATGAGACAACACTATCGTTTAGTTAGATAGCTGCACTGTTCCTTTTTTTCTGGTCGCAGTAGATAACAGCTGGCAAATAGGCTTATAGGTGGATACGTCCAAGAGCAGTATTACGAAAAGGATAGATGTGTTTCGTCACATGTATGCTGCTATCCGTTTTAAACTCTGTATTAGATTCATATTCGTTTATTTCATTGTATTATCATATTATTAGCATATTTTTTTAAAATTTTTAAAATCTTATTTCATTTGATCTGTCTTCGCATCTACTGTGCGAATCCCAGCAATTCTCACATCCGATTCCTTTCCTCGCATCCGTTGACTACGAAGATCTTCCAACTTTTATTTGTGGCTTCGGGTGCTGCTTGAGGATTTCCATCTCATCTTGAATGTTGTAGGATGCTGGCTGATCACTTCTCCCTGGAGTCCTGAGACAGCTGGGCTGCAGTGTTCCCAATTGGTTTGTAGACAGCGATTTTTTCCCATACAATGCCGCTACCAATTTCCCCATTCCAGAGGGACGAGTGGCTTGACTGGCCTGGAGCGGTATCGAACTAGCACCATGCACGTGATAACCGACACCACTACCACTATGCTATCCGCCCACTTTTTACTAGAATATTTAGGAAGGGATATATATTAGCATATTTAGTATTAAAAAACCTCTCATATTCCAATTGTTGGTAATGAGATTGTAAATCTATAATGCTCAAGCTCGAACTCAATTACATCCAGGGATAAATGAGGATTTAACAAAACGAATGGAAAAATCATTCTTAGCCATATGACATGTGTCGCAGTTTTAAATAAGTACTTAAACATCCGAATAACCTATACTGGTGGAAAATTTTGCGAGACGCAGCAAATTCCACTTAATGGGTATGGTACAGTGTGGGTGGCTTGGTACAATTTTTCACTGGTTTCCGAAGGAACCGGTACTGGGCGGCTTTTAGATGGTGATCACTATTTAGTCATTGTCTTGATATTATTTCACATTAGCAGTCTTTTATTTATTTTTTATGGCCCATTTTCACATCTGCTGTCTTTCATCTGATTTTCACATCCCAGCATTTTTTGCATTCGATTCGTTTTTCTCGCATTCATCGTCCACAATAGTCTTTGAACAATTCGCGTGTTTTAGCTGTTGTTTGAGGATTTCGTCTTCTTTATGAATGCCGTAGAATGCGGATCGAGTCAGTTTTTTTTACAGTCATCGAGGTAGCCGGGGTAGGGGGTTCCTGCGTGGATGGTAGGGGAGCGTTTGCTTCATGGTCGACTACATCACTAACCACCGCGCTATCCCCACCCCATTTGGAATTTATTGTGAATAATATATTTAGTGCATGAAATACGAAGATTGCCGAAGAGAATTCAAGGTGTTCTTGCTGGTCGATGGTCTCGGAATGTGCATTCAAGCTTCCATCATCAAAGAATATGCTAGTAGAATTTTAGGGCTAGTTTGAGTAGGCGATTTTTTTCTATTAATTTCATTAGACACTAATCAGTTCCGATTCTTAGAGGAACTCTATGACGCTGGTATCGTAATTTCAAATTCTTTGCCTGGTTCATTGATTCTGGGATCGATTGCTATTGATCGACGGCGATATGGAAAAAGTGAGTGGTCGGAGTAATTTCAGAGTTGTGGGCGAGTGAATCATGCAGTCGGTGATTATCAGCACACCTCTCACCCACATTTGATGTTTATCATATTTGAATTCATACCTTCTGGAATGTTTCTTAGTTCCTTCGCCCTATTATAGACGTGGGAAACATTCCTTCATTTTGAGATTCCATTCCCACGAACAAATGGGGATGTACCAGTTCTACTTTGTTCACTCTTTTTCAACTCGCTTCCAGCTGTTGGTAGATACAGTCGACAAGGTCAGGTGTGACAGTTTCCAAATTCCAGGACAAACAACGTCGGCCCTTCAAATAGCGGTTTGTTTTCCGTATGCTAATGAGTAGTTGTTACAAAACCGATGGGACGCTATTCCAAGTGTGCTTCTTAACAAGTCGTTTAGCTATGCGAACTGCTACGAAGGTACTGGCCAGACGTAGTGAGTGTGGATGAAGGCTTTAACTGGTGAATTCGTTTCTGGACACCAAATGTCACTCCTTGTCTCCACATACCGTGGGCGGCATCCACTCGCAACGTTCCAAATGTCATAACTTTACAGTTGTACGAGTTCCTCTAAGAGGATCAGTGGTTTTGGAAACACTCTTGCTTAAAAGCTTTGTGGAATTCCTCCTCAGCATATAGGGCTCATGGCTGCCATATTTGATTGTACTTGTTTCTCATAGTGATTCTTTCCAGTCCATTGTTTTTGAGACTATTGTTTTTCAGTGGAATGGCTGATAATGACATCAAAGTAAGCTCTCTCTTGTTTTAGATCTCGACGAGAAAACTATTTTAGAGAGCAGTCTTTATCAATACGATCAGACGGTCAGTATTGAGAGCATAAAGTATATAGGTCGTCGTTAAGCCGTGTGTTCACTAGCGTCTATCGGGTGTACAGCTGTATTCCAGAAATCTACTGTTCAGTTGTTGGAGGTTTTTACACTGATGTTCCGAACCGTGTCTTTTTGTCTCATTTCCTTCCTCGCAGTTGTGGTTCACCACTTCCAAACATCGATTATTCTCTACAACTACAACCACCTTAAACTGTTGTGGTCTTCGTAAATTGGTGTTTCGTTGTCCAAATCTTATCTTCATTATACATTCTCGTGTATTCATTTATTAATCGTTTTGTGGTTGAGCAATATATGAGTAACACAATACTATTCAGTAACTTAGCTTTTTCTCGTGCGGACGATGACGTGTTGTATACTGGAATGATGGAAGCGTTTGCGAGCATAATGTCGTCCACACCTTTCACTGTTTTGGAATCCGTCGTTTACTGGTAAACTTATTTATGAAGTACAGAATACCTTCCGTCTATATGGCCTGGTTCCCAGAAATTGTAGCTGTCATCGACTGTTTTAGTATATGGTAACATACTCTTGTTTGTTCAATTCTGTTAGTCATCCAGTGGTTCTCAAGAGTGGTGATTCCTTGGGGTGGTGACGACCTGAAGAAGGTTTCGTTTAGGTTGCCAAACTAGCAAATCTTCGGAGAATGGGAATTGTGGTAGGGCCAGCACCGCCAGTGAAGGTGGGCCATCTAAGTGTCCAAATATCGGTCATCAAGTGATTCGAGCGGACAACAAACTCACCACTAGTTTCTGTCGTTCGCAGAGTGTTTTCATTGAGATGTACTCCCATTACGGAAACGAAGAGCACTACGTTTTTTGTATGAGCCCATATTTCTGTTTTCATTGATAGGACAGGTTGCCTTTCGAGCTCACTTAAAGTGAATGTGTAGATTGCTTGTTGAAGGCGACTTCGAACCAACTCCCATGCACTTTTCTGTCGCTTTATTGCTGTCCTTTAGTAGAATCGATGTGCAGGAGCACATAGTCTGAATTCCCCTGTGTCTACGGGTCACAAATATATGGTTGCTTTCGTGTGAAGATCCACCTTAACGTCAAGGTGATCCACCAACATAGTGGCCTAGTTAGTTAGTACGATAGTGTCTTACATTTTTACTTTCTAGAGCAGTAATATTCCAGTTTTTTGTTCATGCTTAAATGCGTTCTTCTTTGATGATATAGAAGATTTAGATCCTGCTTAGCTCTTTGTGGTCTCTTCGATGCTCTGCGATCGTTTATCTGTTCTGAGAACGCATTCACCCTGATAATTTCTAGGAAGGAACCATTCGTCGGGCTTTTTTCTTTTAATAAATCTCCGCCATTCGAAATC